CCCAGATAACTGAGAGCCTTGATTATGAACACCGAGAGACCAAAAGGTGATTATTGGTTTCACCATATCAAGCTGAGCTGTAATATAACTCATATACTCAACACCAACCATTCACTGTGTCAGTGGTAGACACCACTGGTCATATTCAACTAATCTGCAGCTCATTTCGGACTAGTGGTTTACAACTAGATCTTTTAGGTTCTAGATTTTCAGGAGTCTTGTACTGATGGATCTCCAGAAGTCTGTCCCTGTGTGTTTTGGGGTGGCTTAAGTAGGCATGAATCTAACGAATCCGGCCAGCTATGTGGTATTAGCATTTGCAGGTCTGTAAAGGGTGCAATTAAATGCATAAATCTATCTTCACTGAAGCAAAAGGAGGCTTCTTAAATCTCAATTCAGCATGTGGCTGTCTTGGTGGTGAGAGTTTACTTAAAGTATAGGCGTCCAATACTCCCGAGTCAATTAGTTGTATATCAGTCTGTAAAAACCACACTCTAAACTGTAGGTAAAGGCAGCGATACATACAAATACATCAGATAGACTCGGTTACCAGCTTTCTGATATGATTAGCTTCTGGAGGGTCGTGCCTGGGAGAGCCATCACTTGCAATAAACACTACGGCAAATGTCGAGAATTATCTCCCTTGGCATGTGATAATTGCTTGTATAATTAGCCACTACGGGTGTCCTATGTATCAAACGGGAGAACAAAGCTCACGGAGGGTATATATAGCCCATTATCTTGGAGTGATATACTAGCCCTGGATGGTGGCATAAGCTTACACCTTCCTATCAAATTTATGCTTCACTTCAGGGTACTTCTCCTGTCATGTTGCTGGGTTTATATTGTAAAGATTTTATTGCCGAGATAGGGTTGAGTTTTCTTCCCAATTAGAAGACATATGGGTAACTATTGAATTTTATTATATGGAGCTGGATGTGTGTGGAGAAATAAGTTAATTCAACAATCAAAATATGGTGTAGATGGTAATGCTTTCTTTTTAATAAAAGCATTTTTTAGTTTTTGATTTTTATAAGATTATATTGGCTCCAGTCTGTGTATGGAGTCACTGATGGTTACTTTGGAGTCCATTCAGAATGTACCTTTCACATCTGCATCTTGTTATTTCAATTTTTGTTATTAGTGAGTTTATGTTTGATGTCTCAAACCGAAGAGTTTTGTTGTTTTTTATGAGGTCTTTTCGCAAGTTTTTATTACGGTCTGAGATTGATTCCTTTTTGCTTACCTTTGATGTTAGAGAGCTGTTTTGCTTCCTGAACCGGTTGGCCACGGTGTGGTATTGATCTCATAGCAGGCAGTAATATCTCACGTACAGATCCAAACTGGACAAACACTGATGCGAGGATCTGAACCCCACACCAGAAACTTACACTAGCATGTTATTGCGGAGTGAAAGTCAGTTGATTTAGACTATTTGCACAGTATGCTGGGCTGGCCGCACTGTAGTTATGTGTTTATTGAAATTGATAATTATCAGTTTGGCGTGTCAGGGCCATGTATCTGCCTGGAGTAGGGATGAGAGGCATTGCCGGCACTGAGCAACAACAACCCCTAGTGTCAGTTACATGACCCTTTGTGCCAGCTGGCAGCCCGTCCTTGTCTTGAAGTGATAACTAGCTGACCCCCCTGCCAGACTTGTCCCCCCAGGACCAGCTACAGCATACTGGCAAACATCACAGGCCAAACACAGGGAGCAAATCGGTTACAACTGGGACTTCATCAGAGGAACTACTTGTTGAAAACTTTGAAAATCAATAAGGAATATTATTGATAATTATTAGTGTTGGCACCGGGGACTGGTGTTTGTTTGTTGTTTAATGCCACACTCAAAAACGTTACAGCTATACGATGGCGGTATGTAAATAATCGAGTCTGGACCAGACAATCAAGTGATTGACATCATGAGCATAGATCCACACAATCGGGATACAATGACATGCATCAAGCAAGTCAGCGAGCCTGACCACAAGTCCCGTTAGTCGCCTCTTGCGACAAGCATAATTGCCTTTTACAGCAAGCATGGGTTGCTGAAGACCTATTCTAACCTGGATCTTCACGGGTACCGGGGACTGGTGATTTCCAGCATTAGATCTTTTTGCTGCATTGGTGGGTAGAGGGAGAGCCCACCTTTCCCCTCTCTCTCCCTGCTTGTGCTCAGACACAAGGCTTCATATAATCATACGTCAAGGGCTGTAATGCTGTAGCTGTGATGACACTGACTGAACCTTTTGTTCAGTGCAAATATGGTATTAAATAACCTGACGATGTGACAGGAATATAGGCTTAAGCCCCGTTACACTATCCAAAACTTTGATAAAAACTTGGTTAAAGAAAACTTTGACCAAGTTTTTGATAGTGTAACATGCTGTCAATCCTGATGGATTCATGATTTGTTCTGCAGCAGAACTTGATAATATGTACAAATAATGATGCGAACATATGAATCCCTAATCCCCTCACTAGATGCAGCTAAGATCATTTTCTAGTCTATGTTTCATCCCCACAGGATGAGACTTGCAGTTAGCGGTCTGGTTCATAATTAATCAGTGTTCTTGGTTACCTACACACAGACACCTATAGGTCTGCCTGGGTTTTGTCTGAAGTGTGCCAGTGACACCTGAGTTGTACCTTCCACTTGATTCTCCGCAGATGTGGACAGGCCTGGTTCAATGCGAGATTCCTCGCACATCTCACTCACTCTCATAGTTGCCCTTTCACTTCATCTCTCAATAAACCTCACCCGCCCAAGAAAGCGGGTCGAGACCGAAGATTTGGACAATGCCAACTGCAAGTGCCCAGGTTATGAGATGCAGAACTGGCATATACTCCACTTGGACTATGAGAGAAGGTGAGAGCCGACGACCTTGTCCACACCCTCCATGAGACCTACCCCGCACCCTATCTGTTAGCTGCCTCACACCCTCTCTCACACCCTCTCTCACACCGTCCGTGCCTAGTGGTTGTTCTGGTGCTAGTCTGGTGCTTCCTAGGTTCCTGCTCTTCTGCCTGGTAACTTGTTTCAAGGTCTACACGTTTTCCAGAATCAACTTTGGCGCTCTGCGGACATTCCATTGGATACCTTTGCAAATTAAACATCAGATATTTACTTTTTGGGGGGTTATAATTCATCTTTATTACTCTGTAAACAATATTTGCAAGTGTAACTGTTGAGTAATGTTTGTGTAGTGTTCTGAATATTGCCTTGGTGATTTATTACCAATTCAGATGTGATATTTACTGCCTCCATTATTCATTGAGTCTGTCATTACAGCAAACAATGATTTATCATAATGATTTGTTTGTCCAAACCTTTATGTGTGCGAGAATATGGAGAAAATATATGATTAGGACCCTGTATCTGAATTCCATGGTCAGAAGTAAACGGGATATGAGCCTAGCGTGGTTCCGAGCGTGGTTCCGGCTCTGAGGGAGGACACTTCCTACAAGGCTTCACAGGATGTCTCTAATCACTGCATACCACATGTCACATGACCTCTGATACATCATCACAGAGCTGTACTTGGGATGTCCTCTCGGCAACACTTGGGATCTCCTAGTCATGGCTCTGGATGGCCTTGTTTAGAAGATGATTTGATGCTTGGCTTATAAGTACCTGATATTTGTGTTAATGGATGTTGTACTCTCTTTGAGGAAGTCCTTACACGGTTCATTGGTATTTCTTTTGCACAAAGGAGAGGAGCTTGGTTCAAAGGTTCCTGTATATGCACTTTGTTATTTCCTTGTTCGGGGGCAGAGTTTCACATCTGTTCAGTTTGACTGATTGTCATCCAAAACTTCCCAAAGATTTTTTTCAAATTTGGCAATGAAGTAGAGGAATATACATATAATATACTAAAAGCCTAGGCAAGTCTAGATCAAACTAAACAAAGTCTAGTTTTTGATAGTTTTCTTGATTCCATAAATGAAAACAGCAGAAGAGAAAAGGTTTTATAACTATTTCAAAGACATGTTTTCATTGACTAAGTGTCAGTTTAGTAGCATGTAAACTTTATTCATACCGTCATGTAGATAATAGAGGGTCTATGCTTATTCTGAATTCAGAATAAGCTTTTCAAGGTGTGTTAGGTTTTGGTGTGAATAGATTTAAAGCTTCATATTCTCAGTAGTGTGGAGAGAGTCTATATATATATATATATATATGTCAGCAACGCTGAGGACATGAGTATGTAGTAGGGAAAATATGTGTATTCTCCAAGCAATAAAACATGCATCATATACAGTGTGATACCATCACTGAAACATTTCCTCTCTAGGATTATGAAGTTTAAGATGATGTCCTGGTTAAAGTGTGGCTCGGTTTCAGAATGAGTCAGTGTGTTAGCTGTGTGTGGTACCTGTGGTGATGTAATGTTGGGAGTGATCTCCCCTTGTTCCAAGAGATGTCAGTTAACAGTGGGGAGGTGCTTTTGCTTCAGCTATCTGGGCTCTTCTTGGTTAGGAAATAAATTCAATTCTGTTAATTCATTCTTGATATCATGTATTGTGAGTTTGTCTGATCCAATCATGTTTTGTATATCTGAGACTGTTTGTATCCAGCTTACACTGAGGATCACTGAGCTAGCCATACCTTCCGTTAAGATGATCTCAGTGAAATGAATGCATCTGGTCTTTCTCCAGACTAGAACAAATTAAAGCAAGACTATGAATGATGTGTAAAATATACTTGACCAAAAGCACAAATCCCATTTAATTTGGCTTACAAATTGCATTAACAATAGCTGTCAAAAAACTAGTCAAATCTAGTACATGTTATTTTTGCCTCCTTTTGAATTGCTCCTTTACCAAACAGATGATCACTCAGAGTCGGCAGACAGCATCAGCATTTGCATTATCAACGAGGAATTGGCGGCCCTAGGCTTTTTTTTGACAACAGGGAAAAGCCCACATTAATACTTCCTTCATTTGTGAATGTTTTGTGTTTAAGACATGTAAGTCTGACAGTCTTCCTTCCATTGCAGGTACCTGGTTCACCATCACCACACCTATGCAAACTTCCAGGGCAATAGAATGGACGAGTTTGGGGACGAGTTTCGCTCCATCAACCATTCCGAGAGGATGATGAAAAAAATGGAGAACTATGTGAGCAAAAACACTCTGTGTGATGTTACCCTTATTGCTGGAACAAAGCGTATTCCAGCGCACAGGCTCGTCCTCAGCGCAGCCTCGGACTACTTTGCTGCGATGTTCACAAGTGATGTCAGGGAAGCTACGATGTCCGAGATCAAGATGAAGGATGTGGACCCAGATGCAATGGTGTCCCTCATTAACTACACATACACAGGTAGGTGAAGCTTGGTACAGAACCCTGTGAGAGGAGGGTTAGTGTTGTTGTTACATCACAGACAGCAGTATTACAGCAATATCCGCCTCCGCACGCCCGGAGAGTGGAAGGTCCAGGGTTCAATCCCAGGACACGTCATACCAAAAGACGTGAAAAGATGGTACATGTCGTTACCCAGTCATATATGGATTGTAATAGCAGTATTGGCCTTGAGTTGGTGATACATACATTGGATTGTAATAGATAGGATCAGCAAGGAAGAGAATCTTACAAGTGACCTGTCTGGAGTACTGTGATATATTAAGTCCGATTGACACTAACACGGTCGGTGTTTAGGTTACCAGGACTGACAAGGTTACGTTGGGCACTCCTTGTGATAAAGCCATGCAGACCCTGAAATAAATATATCCAATACAGCCTATGCAAGTCTATTATATTTGGCAAGTCTAGATTACCTTACTAAAATATAAATTATAATTTTTTTCTATAAAATAGTTTATTTCAAAGGCAAGATGCTAGTCTCTGGACTCATTTTTATAATATTTTATAACTATATTTAAAAAAAATAATTTTTCTCTATAAAATAGTTCGTTTCAGAGACTAGATGTTAGTCTACTGATAAGGCTGTAACTCTGCTTCCTGGATGTGATGCAAAAAATGTGTCATTAACTAGATGAGAGTAGCTGGAAAATTGCTGATTCAGTATTATGCAATATTCACTCCATTACTTGTGGCCATAGTCAGTCATTGCAAAATACTACAGGCTGTGAAGTTCGATTTTATGTCCCCACACAAGTAGGTTTGGCTGTTGGTGTGCAACACTGTTGCAATATTCATGGCATTTATGGCGGTTGGTTTATTGTGAAGTACCATAAAACAACAATAGCAGAGCATTTTGTGCTCGCACAATTCCCTATTGGCAGATTTAATGCAGACATGCCATGACAGGAGAGGAAAATAATGTAGTCTATTTAAATCAGGCGGTCTACATAGGGGAGATAACTGTTAGGATTGTTATAGTGAATGGACAGTAGTTATGGATAGCATTGTGAAATACAAACACAAGTTTGTTTCTGTGCGGACAGCTTTTCCAAGGCTGAGTCGTGTAGTCCTCTTCACACTTCCACCACTGATTTCACATGACTTGTTGGACATCACAGAGAAGAACATAATTTGATGGATATTTCTTGCTTACAATTTATTAGAACTTTTTTATATTCAGATTTGGTACAATTATATCATCCATCATGTGCATTGACAAATTAACTCTTTTACGTATATGTTTTTATTTTTATTTATTGATCAGTTATTGCATCAGAAGGTTTTTTCAAATATTGCTCCCTTTCAGATTTAAATCTTTGGTGCCTTACGTTGACGTAATGACTTATTACCATTGAGTAGGTCCCCAATAACATGTGCTTGCAGTCAGTGAGGACTAATGAGGATTAGAAGGACATTATTGTGGCTGATTGTGTGTCATCACACCTTGAGGACATTGTTCTGGCTGGTTGTGTGTCATCACGACAGGAGGACATTGTTCTGGCTGATTGTGTGTCATCACACCTTGAGGACATTGTTCTGGCTGGTTGTGTGTCATCATACCCTGAGGACATTGTTCTGGCTGGTTGTGTGTCATCATGCCCTGAGGACATTGTTCTGGCTGGTTGTGTGTCATCATGCCCTGAGGACATTGTTCTGGCTGATTGTGTGTCATCATGCCCTGAGGACATTGTTCTGGCTGATTGTGTGTCATCATGCCCTGAGGACATTGTTCTGGCTGATTGTGTGTCATCATGCCCTGAGGACATTGTTCTGGCTGATTGTGTGTCATCATGCCCTGAGGACATTGTTCTGGCTGATTGTGTGTCATCACACCTTGAGGACATTGTTCTGGCTGATTGTGTGTCATCATGCCCTGAGGACATTGTTCTGGCTGGTTGTGTGTCATCATACCCTGAGGACATTGTTCTGGCTGATTGTGTGTCATCACACCTTGAGGACATTGTTCTGGCTGGTTGTGTGTCATCATGCCCTGAGGACATTGTTCTGGCTGATTGTGTGTCATCATGCCCTGAGGACATTGTTCTGGCTGGTTGTGTGTCATCATGTCCTGAGGACATTGTTCTGGCTGGTTGTGTGTCATCATGCCCTGAGGACATTGTTCTGGCTGATTGTGTGTCATCACACCTTGAGGACATTGTTCTGGCTGATTGTGTGTCATCATGCCCTGAGGACATTGTTCTGGCTGGTTGTGTGTCATCATACCCTGAGGACATTGTTCTGGCTGGTTGTGTGTCATCATGCCCTGAGGACATTGTTCTGGCTGGTTGTGTGTCATCATGCCCTGAGGACATTGTTCTGGCTGGTTGTGTGTCATCATGCCCTGAGGACATTATTCTGGCTGGTTGTGTGTCATCATGCCCTGAGGACATTGTTCTGGCTGATTGTGTGTCATCATACCCTGAGGACATTGTTCTGGCTGATTGTGTGTCATCATGCCCTGAGGACATTGTTCTGGCTGATTGTGTGTCATCATGCCCTGAGGACATTGTTCTGGCTGATTGTGTGTCATCACACCTTGAGGACATTGTTCTGGCTGATTGTGTGTCATCATGCCCTGAGGACATTGTTCTGGCTGGTTGTGTGTCATCATGCCCTGAGGACATTGTTCTGGCTGATTGTGTGTCATCATACCCTGAGGACATTGTTCTGGCTGATTGTGTGTCATCATGCCCTGAGGACATTGTTCTGGCTGATTGTGTGTCATCATGCCCTGAGGACATTGTTCTGGCTGATTGTGTGTCATCACACCTTGAGGACATTGTTCTGGCTGATTGTGTGTCATCATGCCCTGAGGACATTGTTCTGGCTGGTTGTGTGTCATCATGCCCTGAGGACATTATTCTGGCTGGTTGTGTGTCATCATGCCCTGAGGACATTGTTCTGGCTGGTTGTGTGTCATCATACCCTGAGGACATTGTTCTGGCTGATTGTGTGTCATCATGCCCTGAGGACATTATTCTGGCTGACTGTGTGTCATTGGGACATTGTTCTGGCTGATTGTGTGTCATCACCCCCTAAAAACATTGTTCTGGCTGACTGTGTCATCACGACCTGAGGACATTATTCTGGCTGAATGTGTCATCAGGAAATTGTTCTGGCTCATTGTGTGTCATCATGACCTGAGGACATTATTCTGGCTGAATGTGTCATCAGGAAATTGTTCTGGCTCATTGTGTGTCATCATGACCTGAGGACATTGTTCTGGCTGATTGTGTCATCAGGAAATTGTTCTGGCTCATTGTGTGTCATCATGACCTGAGGACATTATTCTGGCTGAATGTGTCATCAGGACATTGTTCTGGCTGATTGTGTGTCATCGGGACATTGTTCTGGCTGATTGTGTGTCATCATGCCCTGAGGACATTGTTCTGGCTGAATGTGTCATCACGACCTGAGGACATTGTTCTGGCTGATTGTGTCATCAGGAAATTGTTCTGGCTCATTGTGTGTCATCATGACCTGAGGACATTATTCTGGCTGAATGTGTCATCAGGACATTATTCTGGCTGAATGTGTCATCAGGACATTGTTCTGGCTGATTGTGTGTCATCGGGACATTGTTCTGGCTGATTGTGTGTCATCGGGACATTGTTCTGGCTGATTGTGTGTCATCATGCCCTGAGGACATTATTCTGGCTGATTGTGTGATCAGGACATTGTTCTGGCTGATTGTGTGTCATCATGCCCTGAGGACATTATTCTGGCTGAATGTGTCATCAGGACATTGTTCTGGCTGATTGTGTCATCAGGACATTGTTCTGGCTGATTGTGTGTCATCAGGAAATTGTTCTGGCTCATTGTGTGTCATCATGCCCTGAGGACATTATTCTGGCTGAATGTGTCATCAGGACATTGTTCTGGCTGATTGTGTGTCATCATGCCCTGAGGACATTGTTCTGGCTGATTGTGTGTCATCAGGACATTATTCTGGCTGAATGTGTCATCAGGACATTGTTCTGGCTGAATGTGTCATCAGGACATTGTTCTGGCTGATTGTGTGTCATCATGACCTGAGGACATTGTTCTGGCTGATTGTGTGTCATCAGGACATTATTCTGGCTGAATGTGTCATCAGGACATTGTTCTGGCTGACTGTGTCATCATGACCTGAGGACATTGTTCATTATGTCAACCACTGGTTTACCTGATCCATGAGGATTGCTGTGGCAGAGGTGTAATAATGCTGACTGCATAAATAAACACCAGCTTATTCACTGCGGACTATGTTCTTTGTGCTGGCGTCCCTTCTGGAGGAAATAGTTGTCACCCATGTCAACAACGTTATGAATCATGGACAAACTTGCCTCGATCCTTGCATAGTTGTAATGATTTCCTCATGATTACCTCCAGCTGGATCCATTGGCTGTCACAATAATAAGGTAACATGAGGCTGATTAACCAAATTACTCACAAACAAGGAAATCTGATACACCTGACTGTCTGAAATGGAAACAGAATTGAAATAGAAGTAGAATTGCCTTGCCTGTCCAAGATAGAAATACAGTAGAATTGTCTTGCCTGTCCAAGATAGAAACACAGTAGAATTGCCTTGCCTGTCAAAGATAGTAACACAGTAGAATTGCCTTGTCTGTCTCAGATAGAAACACAGTAGAATTGCCTTGTCTGTCCCAGATAGAAACACAGTAGAATTGCCTTGTCTGTCCAAGATAGAAACACAGTAGAATTGCCTTGTCTGTCCCAGATAGAAACACAGTAGAATTGCCTAGTCTGTCTCGGATAGAAACACAGTAGAATTGCCTTGTCTGTCCCAGATAGAAACACAGTAGAATTGCCTAGTCTGTCCAAGATAGAAACACAGTAGAATTGCCTTGCCTGTCCCAGATAGAAACACAGTAGAATTGCCTTGCCTGTCCCAGATAGAAACACAGTAGAATTGCCTTGCCTGTCCCAGATAGAAACACAGTAGAATTGCCTAG